AGTACTCATGAATCATTACTTCTGAATTATGGCTAATTGGCAGTCCTTAAGGAGATTGATAAGCAGCCTCACAGTTCTGTTGTAAAACTCATTACACTCAGCAACACGTGATATCAGTTGGCTTAAATTAAAATAAACCATTTACTGTTCTTCTGTTGGCCTAAAGCTTCTATTATTAATAACTAACATTTTGATACAGGTATTGATTAAATTTGTATGACTCACTCTCTAACCTATACTTAGGACCTTACCTGTCCCTGGCTGTGAGCACCTGTCTGGCTGAACAGATGGGCTGGCTGCATGAGATTCTGTTCATACAGTGGCTCCTGGTGGATCATGGGAGCAACCTGAACATTCAGTCCAAAGCTGTGTGGAGCTGCCACCTGGAGGATGCACCCACCATATGCTCTGTCCACTGGCAGAGGGAAACTCTTACTTTGCAATGAACAATACAGAATAATTAGTTTCACCTCAGCAATATTTAAATACATCTTACATGTTAATGAATGAGTATTAATAATCCAGTAATGTAATATAAAACTTTAAAAGAAGCCAGACCTTTTTTGCAGCAATTTTGCAGATAAAACTTGTAAAACGTACTTGTAATATTTTTACATTGTGGTTTTTCTATTTCTACTTAAATAAAGGATCTGATGCTTCTTCATGTGTTCATTAGTGTAACTGTATTAACCATCAGCCAATAAACAGAGTTTCTTCACTTTCCTCAACAATCTTTAAGTTGGTGAATACTGTTATATTGACAACTAACAGTTCATAGAGGTGTGTGTTTAGAGAGTCTAGTGTATCTATGTTCTGACCACTTAAAACAACTAAAAACTTAAAAACTAAAAACTAAAACTAGCGTCTCTGCATTTGAAAACAACACATTCAGACACAGGTAAATCCTCTCATTTCAGTACTTACCTGCTGGGTTCACTGACAGTTCGGTTATCTGACAATTGTTTTTTCTTGTCTGAAATGTGGACTTTAACAGTTTCCGGTTGTCTCTGTGGCTGTTAGTTGTTGACTCTGTGTTTTCTACAGGTGAACTGAATCAGCAGAATCTCTCATTGTGTGTCACGTTCCATAGAATGTCACTGTCACAGATTGATTTAAATATTCTATTTAAATATTCTATTCCCTGTGTAGATCATTCAGGATCATTTTACTGCCTCATCCACAACTAATACAGTTTACTAACAACCATTACAAACATTATCTTCTCTGCCCATTCAAATACTCCTTATTTCACTCAGCCCATACAAATTAATATATTGAATTTCCATATGTGTAAAATATGTCACATAAAAAATAAAAACATAAATGTAAAAAGTATATATATAAAACCTATTCAAAATTGGAAGAATTTCATATATTGACATATATGTCTAGTTCATACAAATATTTTTGTGCATGTATGCTTATATGGTAGACATATATTATGTAAATATATATCCATCCCAAAGCCCAACAATATATGTTGATATTATATACAGTAGGGTTAAAAATGTGAGACCACTTTCTCAGAATGGATAGATGGAAATTAAAATGAATAAGAACTTAATAAGAGAAATATATAAGTTTATACATTTATATATGTATATTGTTTAAATAAAGTTACATTATGAATTAAATATATATTGTTAACCTATATACTTGCAACATGTTATACAATTAAAAAATTCTATATACTGTCATTCTTAGACAGGTTGGTTTTTCCTTTCATTTTGCTTATAACTGATGTAGTTTTACTGTAAATTCCAACAATTGTGTGACTCTACAGAGGCATGGTCCTATATCTGCCAGGAGGGGGAACTCTACACATTTGGTAACTTGTTCTTACTCACAGCTGATCCCACAGCCTGTCCACAAAGAAAACAAATCTACCAGAGCTCACAGCACAATCAATTTGGGAGTTATTTTGAGGTGAGTCATTTTTTTTTCCCGCTACACCAGATCTTATGGTTTCCCCCTTTAACCCCTGAATACACACTGTGGGCAAGAATGTCCACACAGTTTTCTGTATTTTTGTTCTGAGCAACAATAACAGAATAGCAGCACTTGCAAAGATGTCACTTTGTAAATTGGTACCATGATGTCCTGATATAAAATACTACTTTAACCCTTGGATGTTAATATGTAATGATATACTGTATGTATGCTGTGGTGTGCGAAATGAGAAAGAGAAATATTACCCTTACAAGCAAAATGAGAAAATTCAATTCAATTTTATTTGTATAGCACAAAATCACAACATACATTATCTCAAGCCACTCTACAGGGTAAGGTCAAGACCTTTCAATATTATAGAGGGAAACCCAGCAGTTCCCACAATGAGCAGCAGTTGCTGACAGTGGAGATCAAAAACTCCCTCTTAACAGGAAGAAAACCTCCAACACAACCAGACTCGGGGTGGACCGCCGTCTGCCTGCACTGGTTGGGCTGCGAGGAGAAAGGGGGGGTGTGGTGGCAGTGGGTGGTGGAACAAGGACCACAAACAGCTGCATATACTGTTGATAAGTGACCCAAATTCTACAAAAATTCTACAAAAAATGGGTCATAATAAAAAGTATATTACTCTCTCTGATCAGGAAACATGGACAGACCCTTGGTGATGTTCAGTCAGTGACAACAGCTCAGTCTCAGTAACCAGATCACTTTAAATTAAAGACTGTTGATGCCATCCCCTGCAGGATTATGACATCGTTCAACGACCAGAGACCAGCTCAGAAGCACTAGTTCTAAAAGTCTTTAAGGGGCTCCTGGTACAAAGCTGTTTACAAATCTTTAGCCAGCAAGAGTACTGTAGTCCAATCTAAGATCCAAGAGTACAGTCTCAGTCCGACACCGAAGAAAGCTTTCACCTCCTGCTGCCTTCTCACCTTTTATATCTTACCCAACAAACTACCAGCCATAAAAGTGAAATAATTACGACCTTAAATAGTTTTACAAAAACGCCTCGAGTACTATGTGGCTTGGTTTAAGAAGTGCAGATGATAATCTACATTGCTGTGCACAGCCAAACTCTAGCGGCTTTTCGCACATTTATGTTGCAATTGTTCTTTTCTCTTCACAGTATCTGTCTTTATTTCTCATGGGGGATAACAAATCAAGGCATGCTCTGTCTGCACGACTGAACATAAATCACTTACATTACTGCGATGTCGGTAGGGGCGGGGGGGGTGGGGGGCAGAACCTGGAGGAACACAGAGCAGAGAGCGAGAACAAAAACAACAAGAAATACACAGCACACAACATACACACTTTTACCTGTCTCATTTTTCCACCTGAGGGGTTTCAGATCTGCAGTTTGGAGGCACTAAAGATATGAAACCTTTAATTAGTCTGAAATCCTTCTGTGGAAGGGAGGGAGGACAGAACAGATGAGGAGATAAGTCTTGACAAAAACCATGTACTTCATATTCCTGGTTGTCTTAATACTAACCCTCTTAATCACACACATCACTCGGCAGTAAAACCAAGCAGCCCCTGGGCTTGAAGAATTAAGCCAACACTGCAGTTCCTCTAATGACCACTAGAGTCTCGCTCCAACAGTGATTCAATCCTGATAGACTCCCATGTTAAAATGTTCAACCTTACTGCAGAAATAAACAAGTTTACAGCCTGGTACAAAAACGGTTTTATATAAGTCACCGTTTGAATTTTAAAGTTCAGCATAATTGAGGATGTGGCCACTTTGAGTGACAGTCCCTTAGGTGTCTGCTGGTCATCACTTCAATTAATCTGAATGTAACCTCTTGGCTATGGTTGTGGTGTTGGTGCCTTTTGGAGGATTTTTCATGTAAAAATTGGACCAACAATATCTTCTTGTTTTGCAGTTACCCAACAAACAAAACCTGAGGAGGTCTGTGCTCCTGTTTTTGAGGTGACTGAAATTAGCAGCATCATAAATAACATGGTACTGGTATCATTTTATTATGTTAGCACTAATCAGCAGGTATTGGTGCACTCACCATACAAGGCTTGTTAGCTTGCTGGTCAACTTGGACAGCAAATTGATTAGCCATTTGCTAGCCTTCCAGCAAGAATTTGCTTGTCACAATCTTTAAACTGACATTTACTGAAGTCTCAGATCCGCACACGTTCCCATTTGGAATCAAACTTTGCCAAGACGGCGACAGTGGAGCAGCCCACTCTGAGCTTCAAAACGGTTCTTCAGAAACCTATGGGTGATGAGGCTTGTTTCATCTTTATTTACAGTCTATAGTAAAAACATTTAGTGTGGTTACTGTAAATGTTGTGCAAAATAGGCTGTGCCCAGCTTAAATAAGCCAATGGAAGGCAAACTTTAGCTATGTGAGGTATGTGGTCATTTAGACAGAACACATATGAATCACAATAGCATTTAGTACTGTATAACCAGTCTGTTATATGCATCAAATTAACAATTTTGCCACCAAATGCTGCACATGCATGTTGTACAGGTGTGAGATATGAAGATATCAATCTGTTTGTGTGTAAGTACATAGGAGGTGAAAGAATAAAGGCTGAAGCAGGGAGAAATAGCAAGCTAGCATGTTCCAAAACAAAAATTTGTGGTTTTATATGGAGTTATATGTTTGTAGGTGGTAACTATGTCTTATGTTACAAAAGGAGTCTTGTCGTTGCAGATGTGTTACCAGTCAACCAGTGGAGATGCTGCACAGGGGGCGTATAGCAGAATGATAAACTGTTCTTTGTCAAGAAATAGTTAGGCTACATCACCGCACTTAAAACAACAAACTAAGTGACACTGGTTTTCTCATCTTATTTTGGAAAATGTATGTATTTCCTTTAAAATAATATGACTGTGTCTCTACTTTACTCCAGTTCACTGATCTATCACTGCTTCACGGCTCTCTTGTTTTGCTCATTCCTCTACATCTAAAACAAGCAGACACAAACCTGATCTCTTTTTATGAAAAAGAACTTTATTAATATTTTAGAAATGGCACAATATGATACATTACAGTAAACAACATGAGACAAACAACATGTAGTGTAGGTAAGAACTGTGCAAATGAACTGGGCTGTGTTGATTGTATCTGTGTTCTGCATCTATACCTGATTGAACCCAGTACCGGATGGTGAGTTCCTCTATCTACACCAGCAGATGTGAAACTAGCGAGCAACAAAGCTTAGCCACACAGGCAGCACATGTATGACTTCAAGTCAACTTTAGATTTTATTATGCTTGAAATGATTACAAATATTTAAATAAACTGTACTTTCTCTCGTTTCATAAGCAAAAAACAACATAGGTGTGCATATTGCAGTTATTAATTCATGATTAAATGCAGGGTTGTGCTGGTGTAGATATCAGGACCCAACTTTGTTTCTTTGTTCTTTTCCAGTTTTGACCTTTCACCCTGCAGTAACAGCAGGGAGAGGGGGTGGGACAAAGGTCATGAGGTCAGTCAACCTCCTGTTGCAGGTAGCAGTCGTCAGCTTCAACATCCTTTAAAGTTGCGTCAACCACTTTTCCCCTGCGGGGTCAAACATGGGGTTTATCAATGTGACTAGACCACAGGTTGTAAAGACTTAGTTTATTTAAATATAACTGCTCAGAAAAATCATTTCTGCTTCACAAATGGTGCAAAAGAAATATTGGCTGAACACATTAAAATCGATAATAATTAAGCCTCGTCTGTCCCTGTTTGACCCCGCAGTGGAAAGTAGCTTGGGAGGGGGCTTTTTGCACCTGGATGCAGCATGCGCTCTTAATGTGAATGTGACATGGATGGGTGGGGCTTATTTGGCAGTAATGACCACCGGCATGTCAGTGGTGGTGTCAGGTCCCGCCCCCTGCTCATCTGAATCACTCTCTTTGCTGTCACTCTCATCTGAGTCACTGTCGGCGGCTCCAGGCGTGGCCGTGGCCTCCTCGCTGCTCTGACTCTCCTCGTCCTCAGACTCCTGGCTGGTGCTGGCGCTGTCGCTCGCAGTGCTGGCGCTGTCTTCTTCCTCCTCTTCCTGTGGGGCACTGGAGCTTTCGCTCTCGCTGGCGGTGGCGTCACTGGCACTGGCTTCGCTGGTGCTAGCGGTCGCCTCCTCTGGAAGAGATGCCTGGCGGGGGCTGATGGCCTGGTCCTGAGAGGTGGCATCCAGACCCTGGCTCTCCACCTCAGGGGTGCTGGTGTCCTCCTCCAGGATGTCTGAGTGGACCTGAAGGGCCTGGAGGTGAGGCAGAGGAGGGATGAGAGGATGCTGTTAGATTCATCTATACAATAAATATAAAACCTTGTCAATAGAAAACATTAGTGGAAGAAATTTGTCCGCAATTGTTTAATATATCTTGTGTATCTCTATTGAAGTTTTTGTAAAATGCAGTGAGAAAAAAGGACAGTTAAGCAGAAAAATACAGTTGCAGTTGAAACAGCTGAATCTTTGGAGGTTTTAAAAATTGCATGGTAGCAACAGCTAAATGAAAATAATTTGTCCATCATGTTGAAGCACTAAAAGAAGTGGAAGTGTCAGTAAAATTAGAATGGAAGTGTAAGTTGAAGTTAAAATTGAAGTAAAACCGCTGAAATGACTGGAAGAGTCAACTGAATACCAAACACTGAAAGCAGACGATGTGAAAGTGCTGAAAAGAGTTGAAACGTCAGTTAAAGTTGTTGGTAAACATGTTGGTAGATTCAAGTTTAAGACAAAATCCCATGAGGTATTTGGAGTTTTATTACATTCTAGCTACATTTTCAAACACCAGGTCTGGGCCGCAATGTTGTAAATGGTATCCAAGAGTGCTTACAGATGGATAATGTTAGTTTAGTACGAGGTAGAAGGTAGCCAGATCTCAACACCCTACTGCACTTCAGGAGTAAAATATATATATCAAGACAGACATTGGCAACTCCAGGTACACAAAAAAGAAAGACACTGGCTGTGAATTCCGTGTTCTGAGGGCTGTAGCCTAATGCCACATTAGATTTCATTCGGACTCTGCTGTCATTTTCAGAAAGCTCTAACTAACCGGTACCTTGTACACCTTCAGTGACTTCTCCACCTCGTTGCCATCGGTCATGTCGTAGGCCATCTTCTTTCCTGCGCCGACAAACTCGTAGGACTTGTAGGGAGCAGGAACCTTGTGGTAGGATTTGTCCTCCACGTAGACGATGGATTTGTAGTCACCGGGGTAGCCCCCATAGTTGTCACCACGGGCTGTTTCAGTGTCGGTGACGATGGTTGGCTCGATGGGAGACACGGTGGTTTCAATCACGGGCTCCTCTGTGATGATCACAGGGCTGGCAGTCGTGGGAGCCGGGGTGGAGGACTCGCCTGACTCTGAGCTGTCGCTGGAATCATCCTCATCAGTGTCCTGGAGTCACAGAGGTGAGAGGAGAGTAAAAATGTGATTGGGTGTTTGGAGCCTTCCTGCAGGTAGCAGGATATTAGAAGACCAGAACATTAGAAGGTTCTGAATTTGTGCCAGTACAGTTTGGTAAAGCTGGCAACGACCATGAAAAATAGCTCTGGTTTAACAACTTGGGACCAACTACAGTTATAAAATGACACAAAACACAAACCACCACAGACCAGAAACTTCTAACATCTGTCGGGGGCCACATCTGGTCCCAGAAAAAGTGAGCTGGCCACATACATACAAACCATTATACAGGCATATGAAGTGCTTCCATTCATACACATGCAACCCACATTCAGTCAAGGAAAGCAGTGCCGCTCACGACTAAATATCATCAACAAAGAAGCAGAAAAATCGAATCTAAAGAGCTTTGTTTGTATCAGAAATTAGATGACCATCCTACAATATTATTTCATAATTATGTTACATTAGAATGTAACTATCTTTGCATCGAGTTTCAGCATCCACCCCTGTGCTGTAAATGTAGCCCAACTTGTTACTGGTAAGTTTTTACTCACAGCTTCCTCTGCTTCATCATCATCGTCATCGCTGTCGTCACTGTTGACAGAGGCTGTATCTGAAGAGGAGGTTGTGTCCGCTGCAGCCAGCTGCCAAAAACAATTAATACACAGGGTCAGGAACTTCACCAGAAGTGTAGTCAAGATAAACAGTTCTAGTTCTTATTGATTTGATTTTAATCGTTGATTAGGCGTCTCTCTCACCTCGTCCTCGTCCGAACTCTCTTTGCTCTCGTCTGAGCCGGCGGCTGCTGCCACGACGTTCTGCAACGTCAGAGAAATGCAATGAAAGAGTTAGTGTGCTTCCTCCACGGCCTGCCCTTTCATTTCCAGGATTTCAAAAAGTGGATGAGGGGCATCAGATGTTAGCCTTCCCCCACACCACAGGTCTTTGGTCTCTGAACTCTAATCGACTAAGGTGATGAGGGAGTCCACAGAGGAGTGACATACTGACAGGGAATCATGGATTAACCCACCATGGGCCCCAGGTGCTAATGTAGGCTGTTAAAAATGTAAAGTCCAGTCTGAGATAACGCTGAGGTGTTCTAGTTGTGCATATTCTTCATTTAGGATAAATACAGAATTGGTAATGCAGCCTTGAGTGAATGTATTGTAAAAGAAAATGGCTGACCAGAGAGATATGAAAGAGTACAGAGAGGAGGAAATAAGAGAAAAGACAGAAGAAGAAATGAAAGAGAAGAGAAGAGCAGAGAGAAAGAGCAGATTGAACCAGAGAAAATGAGGTGAAAAAAAGAATGAATGGAATGAAAGTGAAGAAAGATTTTACCTGAGCAGGTGCTGCATCAGCCTCTGTCTGGACGGCTGGAGCTGCTGGTTGTCTCACCTGTGGACAACATCAGTCAGCAAGGATGTCTCTCTCTCACTCTCTCTCTCTCTCTCACTCCCCCCCCCCCTCTCTCTCCAGATACTCACCACTTCTTCAGAGCTGTCTGAACTGCTGTCAGACACTTTTCTTGCCTAAAGATAAAGAACAAAATGGAAACTAGGTAATTCAAGTAAATAAACCAAACATGAGGGTCAAAACCAATTCAAAATAATGTCATAAATGTATGTTATTAAAAAGAAAAGATGCTGTTTAGCAAAAGTTTTCTCTGTCAGAGAAAATGACTCACCGGCCGGCAGAGGACTGTGGCGAAGAGCAGAATGAAAACAACAGCCACTTTCATCGTGTCACAGTTTGGTGTCTGGACGGGAAGGAGAACGGAAAGACGCAGGCTGAAGTTACACGATAAAACATCTCAGTATAAAACAATAAAACAATAACAAATTATCATGATACACCGCAATCGTCCAGGACCAAAATACTCGTGCGGAGGCCATAACTTCACAGGAAAACACAATGACATGTCAAACTGAAAATGAGCTGTGAGTAAATCCTCTCGCCCAGATTCCTCCCTAAAAATGGAGGCCGCGTTGTTACATGACTAGTAGTGGCACTTCCTGAGGCCTTGGTATGTCACAGGAAGTCATTAAGTCCTTAATTACAGCGTTAAACGAGGAGTAATGCGTCCTTGACAACTCAGTTTCAATACAGTGAAACATTTTCTCTGTCATCAGTGCAAGAAAATCACATCATCCTGCAGCGTGGTTTGTTTAACTATGAGACATGGAGGATGTTTCTGGCGGATTCTGGTCCAACAGATGTAAGAAAATGACAGGTATGATTTAGAAAGATGAAATTAGTCTGCGGGTGTTTGGCTTAAAAGATTTGAGGGAGAAACGCATCATCATTTATAGTTGCTACAGTTTGAGTCTAGTTTGCACTTCCATCAATCATTCTACAAAACAGAAAAAAAATATGAACAGTGTTAAAACTTTACAGTGACAATCCAGGTTTAAGATGTAAAAGCTTGGGACATCCTTAAATGAGAAATTCAACTGAACTCAATGCCTTGTTTCCGTAAATTACAACAACATAGACTAGCATAAAGAAAATGGCACATAATGGATAAATCTGGTGATATATGTAATTTTCTATTCGTCAGAAAAATCCAATTAAAAGACTAAAAGCCAACAAAATGTTTGTGTCTGTCAAGGGTTCAGTAATTTCCTAAAAATAAACACAACTCAGAAAGGAGTAAATCGTGTATTTGTTGGGGACTATTTTCAATAGCGGATTAATACACATTTCATGTGTTCATGGTAATGGAAAAACAGTATTTTTGATACATTGGAGTGCTGATCGTACTTTTCTTGCTGCTGTCAGTTTTTTCATTGGATTTATTGACAAACAATAACAGTAACTTTAAAGTGAGGAGTAAATTTTTACCTCAACCTAAATGAAATATCAGAAAATATCAGTATTATACATCAGTCGGTTCACTGCAGATATTAAACCTTGTTAACTGCAGCTTTAAAGAACATTATTTTTTCTCCCTCCCTTACTGTGGCTCTACTTTTGGTGTATGCTGTGGGAGGAGCAGCCTGAGTGTCTGCTTCTATCTTTAATGATGGACTCTTCCTATACTATGTAATTCACAGGTTATAACTGGAAAGCCACAGTACAGCAGAAACATGACAGACGCCCTCTTGACTGTATGTGTGCGTGTATTTCTGTACATCTATCTTTGTGAGTTTGGGTTTTATACCATGAGCGTGAGGAGGTTTGTGCTCAGTATGGCTGCCTAAAGATTATGATTTGGTTTAAGAGTTAAGAATAGAGGGTTTAGGCTAGGGAATGTAGGCTAGGTCCTCACAAGCATAGTAACCGGAACTGTCACAGTGTACGTGTGTGTGTTCTTGTATGTCTATCTTTTTGAGGACCAAGTTTCCAGAGTAAGAAAAGAGGCTGATCCTCTGGTCTTCTAAGGAACAGTTTGATGGGAAATATGCTTTTTTTGCTTTGTTGTTTGATTTAGATGAGAAAATTGATGCCACTCATATTTGTAGGCTAAAAATGAAACTAATCCTAGCAGGTGATTAGCTTAGCATGAATACTAGAAGCAGCGGAAAACAGTTAGCCTGGTTTTGTTCAAAGTCAATAAAATCTATTGTCATCATCAGACTTTCCTGTAATCTTTGCATGTTTATTATAAAATGCTTGGTTGTTTTATCTCTTCACGCTTCTAAAACCTATTCAAATTAAACCTAAGACGGGAACAACAACTGCTAGCACCTCATAGACACATGCAACCTGGGAGAAACTCAGATACTTTAGTCTCTGTTCTCAGTTTGTGCTCAGGAGATTTAGCGTGCCGAAAGTGAGTACAAGCACTTCTAATCGTTACAAGCAAGAGATCTCAAATGTCTCTCTCTCTCTCTCCCTCTCTCTCTCTCCCTCCCACGCTCGCTATTCTTTGCAGACTGAACAGCTCTCAAATATATTTAATAATCATTTTTTTGTCATTTATTCCCGTCCATATCAGAACAGAGAATCAGTCACAGGAAGGAGGTAAGAACAAAACGTTTGTCTTCATCCGTCAACTCTGAAACTCTGATGGAGTTAGTTTTTTCTTTAGAAAACTAAACGCCTACAAGAAGAACCTGAACCTCTTTAAAAACTCTTCCGTTATAAACCACTGTTGATTGAGCTGGTAGTTAATCAGTGTGTGTCTGTGTGTTTATTCAGTGTGGTCAGTCAGGGCTGGTCCTGGTCATGTGTGAGGCTAGTTTTCTGCTGCCCACAGCTTCCTCTTCCTGCCCTGCTGTCACTGTGACACTAATCAGCCAATCGAACACAACCGCCCCGGTTTCACCTCCGACCAATCACAGGCGGACTTCCACGAACAGTAAAATCTTAAAAAAGAACTCATAATTAACTGCAATAAACTGCAGCATTTTTATAGCGGATAACCAAACCCTTCTGTGGGTTTAATGTGAGTTTGCTTGACAATGACTTTTAATTTCATGTAATATGGTTCAATTTTTATTGTATCCTCCAAAGAAATGACCCTTTACATGAAGTATACTGTAAAATTATGTAATTCTTGTCACTGAGCCCTAAATCTGCTCATGCTTTGAACCTGTTTCCAATTTTGATCAACTTGTTATAAGTATCTGGTAACCACGCTATATAAAGCAGATTACAGTGCTAGAGTCAAACGACATCTACTGTTTAAAGGCGTTTAAAACAAGCTTTGATTTGATTATTTTTAACTTGTTTTTAGGAAAGTAAAACATTTTGGACACACCAACTAAAGTGTTTTTTAAGAGAGGTTAAAAAGAAAAAAAGAAAATTAATATTTTTGTTGAGAGATGTTCTTGCAGTGTGGCTCTGGATTACATTTGTAAAACTTACTTTTTAATTACCTACATTCACAATGTTACTATAAGAAATCCATAAAGAACATACTTTATATGGCCAAAAGTGTAAGATAGCTGGCATATTCACCATGTAAACTGGTTGGATGTGTGATTATAGAACCACGGGCACGGCCTCCACCCTTCTGGGAAGACTTCCCACAAGATGTTGGAACCAGGCTGCAGGGATTTGTTCTCATTCAGCCACAAGAGCATGAGTGAGGTCCAACACTGATGTTGGGTAAAAAGGCCTGACTCACAGTCAGTGGTCCAGTTCATCCCTAAGGTGTTGAGCTCAGAGCTCCACACAGTCAAGTTGTCTAAAATATGACTGTATGCTGTACCATTGAGATTTCCCTTCACTGGAACCAAGGGCCCCAAACAATGAAAAACAGCCCCAGACTGTGTTTCATATGCTTTAAAGAACCTGCATTTCAAATTCATGAACACTCTACTCTTCAAGCTAAAACAGCATATTTCCCTAACTTTCATAAATATTAACCTGAACGCCCATCACTCATCCCGACACTGGTGCTGCAGAAAGACTCCAACCTAACACAGTAGAGAGTAAATATAACATTCAGTTTGATAAACATTCATTCTGACCTTGTTTGCAGTTGGAGAAAGCTTCAGGAGTTCAGCGGCTGCAGAAACAGATAGAGGTGGTTTGTCTTTAGTTTATCTCCTGGGTTTCCCTGGATGTTGTGTGCTGCTCTGCGATGGTGTTGCTGAAGCCAAGGCGAGGATTATAAACCCTCCAGCTTCTGGCAGCAGCCAATCAGCACAGAGCTTCTGATGTCATGAGGTTAACCGCTGGTCCACCTCTCCTCTCTCTCTCCCACTCTTCCTGTGGTTGGTGCTGTGGTGGTGTGGGGTCAAAGACACACACGCGGGCACACACACACACACATACACACACGGATGCACACACACACACACATACATGCACGGATGCACACACACACACAATGCAAGGACAGATACATGGGGAAAGATATGCAGACACTTACAGCCCAGACAGAGGCATGTTAATGTACTTTTTCTCTTTCACACACACACGCACACACACACGCACACACACACACACACACACACACACACACACACACACACACACTCATTCTTGCTGTGTATGAAGTTAATTTAAGGACATGTAGTGACAGGCTCTGGGAAAAACAGCAGCATATAGTGACGGGTGGTATGGCAGTGATTCAGCTTCCTCACAGACAGAGGAAAATCATCTGACTGAGGTCTCTCCGGATAATTGAGAATTTGTCTGCGACACCAGACTGATTTGTCTTAAACTGTTGAACAAGGGGAGGGGAAGGTTTTTTTTTCTGTGTGTATGTATAACTTTATATGTTAGAACCACACCAAATAAAAAAGAGAATATAGCAGAGCCAAGGAAATAAAAGAAAAACGTATCTAAGATTATGTAATCAAAAAGTTTACATGCATTTAAGCACAGTAATAAAACTATACATATAGAAACAAATAGGATGATTATTTAACTATGCTTACAAGCATTAATGTCACTGTCTGTGAGCACCAGACTAAAATCAATAGGGGAGAGGTCAAAGGTCACCAACCAGGAGTCAGATGGTGGCTGAAGAAAGATCAAGTGGGACATCCAAGACCAGAGACCATCTTTGAACAGACAGTGGGCACCATTTCCCCCTTCATATATGATCTCCTATTATATGGTTGAGGTTCCATAATTAGGTCATGTGATGACACCTGGGCCGAGTGAGCATATCACATCCACTGATGAAGACCATGAGATGTAATTGAAAGCTCAACAAAAAGTGAGTAAGTAGACCTAGGTAAGTGGGGGGAGGGGTGTACATCTTCATGCATCTTTCAGAATCATAGTGGATCATTACGATAGGGAGTCTCATTAGTTTTACAGGTGCCTGGTCAGAAACCAGGATGTGTATTAAAATTTTGATCTGATGATGGCACTGGGTGAAAAGCCGGGGGGATCACCAAAGTCATTAGAGTTCATTGTCCAGTGACAAAGACCATCTGCGCCAATTTACAATCCTTGCAAAGCTATTCAGACATTTCACTCAAAACTGAAGATGTCAACCTCATTGTGGCGCTAAATTGAAAGTCAGGTAATCATCAAAGTCGTGGATTCACCTCTGGAGACCATGTATATCTGGTGCCACATTCAGTCCATTATAGTTGAAAATTGCCAAAAGCCCCAGGTTTTCTCCGTATCATCAGAGTCTACATAATTTGATTAATCACATACAGTATATGACTAATTTGTCAGAAATTTACACCGTTGAAGAACAATATCTACTTGCAGAGGTGCCTTGTGTCAAGACTTTTATTGTTTTAGTCAACACCATGTGTTTCATTTAAATTGCTTCTATTTTATTCCATGTGTCAAGTTTATTATTCCATCACAGAAGTTATGTAAGACTGAAACCAACAACAACATTCAGTTTAAATATCATAATGAGTTACAACATAATTATATCTATCATTTTCTTTAATAATCAATTGTTCAGTGTATAAAATAAGGCAACATATTAACATATTCAAATTGCTTTTATATATTAACAAAAAAGATCAAAATCCCAAAGGTGTTGGAGCACTATCGTAGAAAACAGCAAAACTGGCAAATATTCACATTTGGGTAGGTGGTACGTCATTGCTTTAAAAAATGAGAAACGATAAATCGTTTATCAAAGTTGCTGACAATAATTCTCTGTCAATAGATTAATCAATTAATAAACTAATCATTTCAGCTCTGCAGCACTGGTTAGATTTGCTAGTTCGACGCCATGAGAAATGATGAAACTGCCATGAATAGCAGGGGTCATTAGGGGCCCAACAACAAGTCCTTATAGTTCTTGAGATATTTCAGTCTGGACCAAAGTGATGGAGACCGACAGTGCAATGCCCCAGGGGGTTTCAGTCAACTCATCCATCAGTCAGCCATGAGTGAGTCAGTCACTACCAGGGCATTTAAGAGGTAGTAATTACTTAAACTTCTAGATGGAACAAAGTTGTGTGAATTTATTTACATTTAGATCAAAAAGAAGTCCATGTCAGGAGGGATCCAGACAGACATTCTCTGAATTCTAATGTGATTTATTTTTCACTCACAGTTGAGACGAATCATTAAACCTGATTGACTCATGTGGTGAAGTTTCTGCTCGATTCAACCTGCAATTATAGTAAAATGTCTGAGTGTGTCTGTGTTGATGTCTGACACACTGACATATTGGCTGGGTACTTATACGCTGTCGACGTAAACACAACATTTCATGCAGAGGCAGTCAAAGGCACTGACTCGTAAAACTAGACACCTGTATGCACACACAGTGGAAACCGCTTGTAACGATCACAGTTACAGCATCACATAAACCGCTTATATATAGATCAAAAACGCTGGGACAGAATCATTCCTTTTCATACATGACCATATATGGAAAAAACGATTCAAATGTTGTAGCAAGCTGTCATATATAGTCTCTCTTCTAAGACTATATTTGCATATGGCGTTAAAATGTGTCTTGTATCCAGATTGTATCTAGATATGACTTTATCCTGATTACATTTACACCTGGTATTAATATGTTTCGCTATTGACCACACTGAGATCCAATTGTGGTACGATAGCTACAACGCAGGTCTAAAAATACAACAAAGACAATAGTCAGACAATCTGGATGCAGGGGTGCATACAAGACTGGTGGGAGAGGGTTGTGATGGGGACCCATTACGTTGTGCTTCCCATGTAAGTGTTGCATGTGGATCGACAACACCGCCTCACTCACACTTGTGTTCAGTGTGGGCACAGTTGGTCACTCTCCGCCTCTGGAGGTGGTTTGGCCGAGGGGATCGTACTTTCTTTACTCTTGTACTTTCATGTGGTCAGGCACTATCTGATTACGATCCCATCACCCAGAACCCTTGGACAGCATGGACAGTGTGATTGTTGGCCTAACTAATTGGTATTAGGACTGATCCAATAAGTGGTTGATGTTGGTAAGATTGGTGGACGGCCTCTTATTTTTCCTCCGGCTATGTCAGGTGACAATATATGTTGTGTTGTAAAATGGGTCAAATACTTACAAAATGCAGGTGCAAGGTGGTCACTCAACACGATGAGACATGTTCCCCCGGGATATCAATGGACAAAATATCACGGCAGAGCACCTCCCTTTCGCTGGGAAACATAGGGTGGATGGGAACAACACATTACTTACTGTATTGGCAACACTTCTAATGGACCTTAATCAGTAATTCAGAAGAGCTGTAAAAGAAGATAATTCATAAGATACAAGTAGGGTTCAGAATACTGGCTACAAACACATTGATACACATGCACAGATAAAAGTTTTAATGATTCATAAATAGTTATTTAATGCATTAAACACGCTGTTGTTGAACACACACAAATACAAAAAAGACACACTTGTTTTGCTTTGACTGTCAACACCATTAGTCAATGGGTTAAGAAACACACACACACTGACAGTCTGATTACAGTAACAGCATGTCATGACTCTTATAGTACGGACACGTTGAGCTCTGACAGCTTGATGAGGTCTGAGGCCCCGAGAGTCACAAACGTACAATTACACAACCGCTCAAATCAAAGCTTTCTTCTTCTACCGACGCACTGAGGTATGTCGCACATGAAACCCAGCAGGAGCGTCCTGCTCAGTCTTGTAAGACCCCCGAGAACTGTTTGTTGATTGAAGGTTTTAGATCTTATTTGTTTAAGTTTTTAAAACTGTCTGTGTCAAAGAGTTGATGTGTGTCTCTCCTCCTCATTAACGTCCTTCTTGTAGCCTACTTCTACTGTACCGGCTGAATTTTATTCTGTCGATTTTGTTTGTTTTTCAAATAATATGTTTGCATATTTTTTTGTCACAGATAATCTATAATTACTTACGCAAACCCTGAGCCCTGAACTTTAAATAACTACAGATGTGGTGTTGATTTACAAAAGGATGCTGTGTGTTCATGTGTGAGTGTGTGTGTGTGAACCTGATGGATTTGGAATTTGTTTGAAAAGGATTAAAAGAGTATGAAGCCAGAAAGCAGCATGAGACGGCACACAGACATGTCTGGGATGAATATGTCAGGACATGCTGGATCAGTTCCTCGTCACAGAAATGTTATGGTTATGTGTGTGTCTGAGATCATTGGCGGTCTTGTGTTTCTGTTTCTGTCTTTGTTGTGTGTTGATGTTTTGCTCTCAGTGTTGTAATTGTGTAACTAAATGGCATTAGCTTAGTTGCTGGCTAGTTTTAGTTAGCTAGTTAGTTAGTTTTAGTTAACATTTTATGTACTCTATTAAACAAAGTTGTTGATTGAGGAAAAAATGATGAATAATGTTAATATAAATAACTTCCATTCCCTTCCATTGGTTTTAGTTACACTTTATATTTTTTTATTTATCTATCCATCTAATTGTTATTGGTTGGTGAAGTTTAATAATCTCATGTGTTTCCAAGATAGCTCTACCCATCTTCAATCTTACCAGAGCTCTAATCAACCAAAACGAGCCCATAGGTCGTTTGTGCAGCAGGTTATTATGACCCTTAGCTCCAGAGATAAGCCTGAGAGACGAGATGTAAAACTACATTGAGATGGTGTTCTGGTATTATTATATATAACAAAAAATAACAAAAAATAAGAGCTATTTAAACCTTTAAGTTACAAATCTACGAA